TCGGGGAATCGAGGAAACATTCGGGATCAAGACAACCATCCCCCCCCCCCTTTTTAACTGATTTTTAGAGAAAGAGGAAGGGAGAGGGAAAGAGAGAAACATCAATGATGAGAGAGAATCATGGATCGGCTGCCTCCTGCACGCCCCCAACTGGGGATCGAGTCTGCAACCCAGGCATATGCCCTGACCAGGAATCGAACCAGCAACCTTTCAGTTCACATATCGGTGCGCAACCACTGAGCCCTACGGGCAGGGTACACTGACTTCTTTTTAACACAGGCAGCTGACACCCCCTGAGAGTGTATGGCGAGGGCTATTTTTTCTCCACGAGATGCTATTCGTGGCCTCCAGCTAGGATTGTACATTTCTTTCCTTTTTTTTTAAAAAAAATATTTTTTGATTTATTTCAGAGGGGAAAAGAGAAAGACAGAAACATCAATGATGAGAATCATGGATCGGCCGCCTCCTGCACGCCCCCTACTGAGGATCAAGCCCACAACCCGGCACGTATCCTCGATGGAATCTAGCTGTGACCTCTTGGTTCCTAGGTCGATGCTCAACTACTGAGCCACGCCCGCCTGACGGGTTGTACATTTCCATCCCAGTTCCGGCTTAGCAGCCAGAGGTCCAGTATTCCCAGCACACAGATGCCTCAGCAGCGAGGGAAGGCGGCATACAGCGGCCTGTACCGACTGTATCACGCCGCCCCACGCACGGGCGCTGCTGCCCCGCCCCAGAGGGCCGGCGCCGGAGACGCCAGCTCCTTACCGTGCCTGGCATGGGTGTGAGTTGCACCTTCGGACCTGGGGCTCCGGGCGGCTCGCTGCGGGGCAGTCGCTGTCATTCACCAGCGTCGTGGTCTTGTTCACGATGCGCGTGCAGGACACGATGGTCCTGCGTTCCCCTGGAAACCAGCGCACAGGGAGCTGAGAGGCTGTGGCTGCCGCCTCGGGAGGGGCATTAGGTCCCGCTATGGAGGGGCCTGCAGGGGTGTCTTCTGATCAGAGATTTGTTAACTGACTGTGGTCAGGGCAGGAGAACTATCAGCTCAGCCAGGAGGGTGTCCAAGACATGGGCAAGGCAGTGCGGGGCAGGAGAAAAATTCTAGACTAGGACCAGAAAAGGCAACCGCTGCCCGGCTGGTGTGGCTCAGTGGTTGAGCATCAACCCATGAACCAGGAGGTCACAGTTTGATTACGGGTCAGGGCACGTGCCCGGGTTACAGGCTCGATCCCCAGTAGGGGGCGTGCAGGGGGCAGCAGATCCATGATTCTCTCTCTCATCGATGTTTCTCTCTCTCCCTTCCTCTCTGAAATGAACAAACACTGGTTATGTGCCCAGCCTGTCCCTCTCTGTGCCCTGACCACAGAGTGCCCGGAATCCACGTCTCCTTCCTTTAACAAAACCCCGCACCCGTGGGCCGGGACCCCGGGGCTCACCTCCTCCACACTGCACGCTGCACCCCTCCCAGCCGCTGTGGGTCCAGATGAACAAGGAATCGTGGGGTTTCTCGGGCTCGCTCTGATTCTCAGCCGTGGCGTTCACGGGGATGGTGTACTCGTAGTGAATTCCGTAATTCTGGTCATGAAATAACAACACCTGGGCGGGAGGCAAAAGAAGAGGCCGCTTTGAAACCGCGCAATAGCCCGGGGAGAGCCTTGCTGTGGGGTCTCCCTCCCGGTGGGCACGGGCTTTTAAAATAGGTTCAACCTGCCCAGCCGGGATGGCTCACTGGTTGAGTGTCGACCCAAGAACCAGGAGGTCAGGGTTCCATTCACTGTCAGGGCACATGCATGTCCATGTTGCAGCTCGATCCCCAGTAGGGGGCGTGCAGGCGGCAGCTGATCCATGATCCCCTCTCCTCATTGATGTTTCTCTCTCGCTCTCCCTCTCCCTCTCCCTTCCTCTCTCTCCAAAAATCAAACAAAAAAACCATATTCAAATTAACGTTGCAAAACAAGGCCTCATGTAGGACTTTCCAGTGGCCTGGCTGTGGGGGGTGTGTCCTCAGGGCAGGCCTAACACCAGCGGGTCCTCCCTGGGTCTAAGGCACCAGCAAGTTCACTTCCAGGCCGGGAGGTCCAGGAGAGGGGCCAGTGGGAGCTCCAGGCAGACGGTGCAGGGCCCACCTGCCTCGACGGGGGGGAAGGCCAGGTGGCAAGTGCCTGAGACGGAAGCCTCCTCCTCCCTCCCGGGGCTCCCCCTCCCCCGAGGGCTTGAGTGGGTGGGGGGTGGGGGTGGGGCGCCTCAGCAGCATAAACATCCACTTCTCCAAGAAACAGACTTGCAGGAACGCATTTGGAAACCTGCCTAGGGTGGAAAAGAAAGTAAAAAAAAAAAAAAAAAAAAAGAAAAGAAAAGAAAAAAGAAAAACCTCTTTAAAAGAGATCTTTATTATCTCAGTCTGGGAATATAAGACTGGTGAATGGGGGATCCATCTGAAACCAATTTCGTGCAATTTCGCAGCCACGTATAATTTGTGTGCAGGTCCCCGTGGCTCCCCAAGGCGTGCGTCCTGGTTTGGGGGACAGTGGCTTCTATGGACAGCCAGAGGGGCACCTCTTATTTCTAGATTTGCAAACTGGAAGTAACCAGTAACCATCATCATTCTCGAGAGAGAAGCGATTCACATTAACGAGGGCTGGGCCCGGGGCTGCGGCGGCTGCCTCTCTCTCTCTCTCTCCTCTCTCTCTCTCCGAGTTTTGTTTCTCGTGGTCGGAATGGATCCCGGCTGTGCCTCGGCCTGAACGGGCTGGCGATGCACTCGGGCCATGAAAGCTTTGAGAAGAGACGGGAAATAAACCCATCCTGGCGCCTGCTACAGGGAGCAAATGCAAGGGCGACCGGTGACATGACGGTGTCCTTGGCTTCCTCTTGCAGGCCCTCTGCATAACTGCTTTTATTTCATTATGATCCTCATTACTTTAATCCTCACCCGAGAATATTTTTCCTATTGATTTCTAGAGAGTGGAAGGGAGAGATAGAGAGAGAGAGAGAAACATCGACCTGAGAGAGACACATCGATTGGTTGCCTCCTGCACATGCCCCTACCGGGGCTAGGACACCGGCAATTCAGGTATGTGCCCTTGACCAGGAATCGAACCCGCGACCATTTGGTCTGCAGGTGGATACTCTAACTACTGACCAAACAGGCCAGGGCTACGTTTATTTTGTTTTATTTTATTTTATACATTTTTGTTGCATTCAGGGCTCACAGGCAGAGCTGTCCCTGCAGTGCTTTGATGTTCTTAAAAAGGATGCATCAGCCTAGCTGGTGTGGCTCAGTGGGCAGAGCGTCAGGCACAGACTGAAGGGTTGCGGGTTTGGTTCCGGTCAAGGGCATGGATCTCAGTTGCAGGCTCCATGCCCAGCCCTGGTTGGGGCATGTGTGGGAAGGAACCAATCAAAGTGTCTCTCTCACATCGATGTTTCTCTCCCCCCCCCACCCCCTCCAATCTCCCTAAAAAAATCCGCAGGTGAGGATTAACCAAAATAAAAAGGATGCATCAGCAGGTGGCCCCTGGGTTGGGTGGCGTCCTCCCCGACAGGTAAGACAGGACCCCACAGGTGTCTGAGACCACCCGGGGAGTCGACATTCCCGTAGAACCTGGGCCTCCCCCACCCCCAGTTCCCGGATGCCTGTTGCAAGGCGAGCTTGGAAAATCTGAGCACTGTTGGTTTGGAAGGAAGCGGAGTCAACAGCTCCTTTCCAAAAGGTAATTTCCAGTGTGGACACACACACCGAGGGGAGGGGCGGGCCGGTGCCGTCTGATGTGCAAACACAGACTTCGCGCGGGCCGGCTGCTGAGTGGGCCAAGTCTCCCTGGCGGCCCCAGGGCTGCGCGGCTCCTTCCTGGAGGCAGTTCCGTTTAAGAAGAGGTGGGAGCTCTGCCAGCGAGGAGCCGGGACGACGTTCTGAGAGGGGAGAAATCCGAAGCATGCCCAAAGAGATGAGATAAGAAAAGATGGAGGCCGGCCGGCGTGGCTCTGTGGCTGAGCGTCGACCTATGACCCAGGGGGCCCCGGTTTGTTTCCCAGTCAGGGCCCATGCCTGTGTTGTGGGCTTGATCCCCAATAGGGGGCGTGCAGGAGGCAGCTGATCCCTGATTCTCTCTCCTCATTGATGTTTCTCTCTCTCTCTCTCTCTCGTCTCCTTCCTCTCTGAAATCAATAAAAACATATTTAAAAAGAAAAGAGAAGATCAAGAGAGAGCCTTGAGCTGCAGGTGGCCAGGTAAGCCACCAGGAACCAGTGCACCTGCCCGCCACCCACACCCCCAGGAAGAAGTAGACGGGGGGGGGGGGGGGAGGGGGTCCTCTCCGAGCCTTACCATCAAGTGCAGGGGAATTTTGGTCGGTCCCTTGGCAGAAATTTTCTCCCACAGGCCCCTGCGGACGTAGCGGACTGTGGTGCCGGCGATCTGGAACTCTCCGGGGAGCTCGATCTTCCAGTCGCTATTGATGGACCTCCTACTGGAGTCTTTGAGGGCTGGCAAGAGAACGGACAGCATGGAGTGGAGGCCACGCAGAACACCCGTACAGAGCAACCCGACAACCCAGCCTTCCCTCTCCTGGGTATAGACCCCCCGAAAAACTCAAAAACGAAAAAAATCAATAAAAACATTAAAAGAAAAAAACAAAACAAAAAACAGGGAATCCTGGAGGGACCTGGTTCTGTCTGTGATGAATGTCTGGGCTCTGATTAGCTGGGAAGAACAATTTCATTTTCAGGCTCCACCGGGGTCAGAGGTCAGCCGTTTTATTTGTATTTATTTTTTAAATATGTTTTTATTGATTTCAGAGAGGAAGGAGGAGGGAGAGACTGAAACATCTATGATGAGAATCATGGATTGGCTGCCTCCTGCACACCCCTTACTGGGGATTGAGCCTGCAACCCGGGCCTGTACCCCGACCGGAATAGAATCTGGGACCCTTCAGTCCCCAGGCCGACGCTCTATCCACTGAGCACACCAGCCGGGGCAGGTCGGACATTTTAAATCGCCGTCTGAGAAACAGCAGGGCCTTTGTGTATTTTGTTGAGGAGCCATCAGGAGCCTCTTAACGATGAGAGGAACTTCCCACAGAAGGGAGGGTGGGTCCCTGCTCTCCTCACCCCCCTGGCGGGGCAGACAAAACCTCCTCCAGGGCCGAGAACCTGAGGTCACGTGATGCATGTCTGTTTCCCAACTGGGCCCTCGTTTCTCTGTGCAGATATTTACATGCTGTCTGTGGACACCGGGCATGGAGGGAAAGACCGTGAGCCACGCTGGGCAGTGTGGAGGGGGCCTCCCTGGCCGGGAGGGCAGGGCTCCTCGTGAGCGCTGGCTGCAGGCCCATGTGGGGGTCTGACCCCGTCCCCCCCACCCGTGGGGCTGTGCAGGAGCGGGCTCCTCGCGTCTCTCCCCTCCTGGGTTGCACTGGAAGGCTTGACCCGCAGTCAACCCACTTCTAATCCTGGCGCCGCGTCAGCGCCTTTTATTTCCACCCGGGGCCCGCCAGGCCTGTTCTGAGCCGTGAACGCGAAACTGCAGAGGCATTTCCTGTTCCAGGTGGTTTCGAGCCGCGAGCCAGGCGCGTGGCTGAGAGGAAGGGGGGGTGAAATTCCTCGGAAATCGTTCCCAGCAAATGCGAGGGGGAGCTCAGGGCTCCACCGGTTTGACTTCCAGAGCGCCCGGCCCTGGTGCCCAACATGGCTGGTGTGCACTAAACCTTAGAAACGTCACGAGCGTGGACCACTCCGGGCTGGCCCTAGTGCATACCCCAGGCCCTGGAATCCTGGGGTTCTGGTTGGCAGAGGAGATAAGGGGACCAAAGCAGGCCAGGCTGGCGTGGTTCAGTGGTTGAGCATCGATCTATGAACCAGGAGGTCACGGTTTGATTCCCGGTCTGGGCACATGCCCGGGGTGTGGGCTCAATCCCATGTGGGGTGTGCAGGAGGCAGCCGATCCATGATTCTCTGTCATCACTGATGTCTCTCTCCCTCTCCCTCTCCCTTCCTCTCTGACATCAATGAAAGTATATATTTTTGAAAGTCCATTTCATGTGGGAATTAGAAGCTGAGCGATCTAATGGACCCTGACATCCTGCTGCCCTTTTCACATTTCCAGGGAAAAGCAGAGGTAATGTCCCCCATGTTGCTCACTACCCGGGACTGGGGTCAGTTGAGCGATGGCGCTGGGAAGTCCCGGCAGCCAGAACCATGAGTCCTTCTATCACGACACCTAAGATATGAGTTTGACACCGATGTCCTGGGAGAATGCTGCTGACCCGATGACCAGCCCACCCCGTCCTCCGCCTCCATCCTCAGAACAGACATGGCGAGTCAGATCATTGTTTTGGCGTTACCTAGGAAACTGTGGGCGGGTTTGTCCTCCACCACGCGGATCCTCCGAGCTCCGGCGGGAATGACAGCGGCTTCGATATAGCCTGTGGTGACGGATAACATGCGTGAACCACGCCTGCCCCATCTCCCACCAAAGTCCCCTCTCCCCCCTCCCCCGTAGAGATTTCAGAGCTGATGGGAGGTACAGCTATGACAAGTGTCAATCACAGAGCGTTCTTGTATGGCCAGAGCCCCTGGGTTGCCGAATTCCAGAGCAGCACTTACTTACTTGCACGAGTGATGGGTTGAACTATATCCCGCTCCCCACCCCCCAATTCATTGGTTAAAGTCCTAACCCCCGGGACTCAGAACTCGACCTGATTTGGATTCGCGTCACTGAAGATGCAATTAGTTCAGATGAGGTCTTTGTTATATTTTTAAAAACAGAATAGACTGTTTAAGAAGGTTTCTCTTTCAGAACAAAACGCAAAGGGGTGCAGAGCTCATGGGTCACCATGGGGGGGGGGGGAGGGTGGTTCCCGTGGACACCAGTGGCTGGTGCTAAGGCCTGCGTGGACTAAAGGCCATAACGTCTAAATGGCGGTTTAATGAATGATGTGAAAGCCTCGTACGGAGAGCTTTCAAAACCCCCATTCAAACCACTTCGCTGTGTCACCTCCACCGAAGGCGGAGCCCAGCCCTGAGGACAGCAGTGTGATGGCCAATTCGAGCCGATTCCTTCACAGAGGAGCTGCCGGGGCCTGGATCGGTTCAAGGCTGGGAGGCGACAGGCCAGAGGGTCACGCTACCTCCACGCAGCCCTGCAGGACACGGGAGGAGGGCGTCCCGGAGGACATGGACGCTGTCCCCGTGGGGGGCTGCTCAGAATTCCCAGCTTCAGTATGGAAGGTAAGAGGACCCAGAGGAGGTCAGACAAGGGTCAGGATTTCTCAGAACCGGGCAGAAAGCCTGCGCCCGACTGCTTTTCATCTCCGGATGGTATTTCTCTGTGATAGTCACCCTCGAGGGTGATAACATTCCTCCTGGGCGCTGGGCAGAGATGAAAGGTGCCTCCCTGTCTGAGCTGACAGAATCAGCCGGTCCGTCAGCCACACTTGGCGCCGGAGATGTCACATGACCTGGGGGAATCATACTATTTCGAAGTTGGGTTCCTCCTTCAACCTGAAATGCCCTGCCCCACCCCCACTGACAGTTAATCTCTAATTGACCATTTTAAAAAAAAATTTTTTTTAAATTGATCTCAGAGAGGAAAGGAGAGGGAGAGAGAAACAGAAGCATCAATGATGAGAGAGAACCATGGACCGGCTGCCTCCTGCACGCCCCCTAGTGGGGATCAAGCCTGCAACCTGGGCATGTGCCCTGACTGGGAATCGAACCGTGATCTCCTGGTTCATAGGTCGACGCTCAACCACTGAGGCACGCTGCCTGGACCACCTCTACTTGTTCTTTAGGGCGTAGGGGTGCCCTCATCTGCCCGCAGCCGTGAGGGAGGCGCCCTGCAGCACCCCTCATACATGCACTCAGGCTGTTTGCTGGGGGTCCCCTCCCTGGACTTGGTGACAGCTGCATTTTCCTTCTGCACACCTCCTGCCTCTAACATCGTCGTCATGCTGAGTCAATGTGCATTGGATGAAAGGCTCATGGGCAACCGTGGCTCAGTGGTTAAGCATCAACCTATGAACCAGGAGGTCACGGTTCGATTTCCAGTCAGGGCTGCGGGCTCAATCCCCAGTAGGGGGCGTGCAGGAGGCAGCCGATCCATGATTCTCTGTCCTCACTGATGTTTCTCTCCCTCTCCCTCTCCTTTCCTCTCTCTGAAATCAATAAAAACATATTTTTGAAAAAAAAAATCAATGGAAAAAATATCCTTGGGTCCCGAGGATTCACAACAACAAAAACATCTGAAGCGGCTCAGTGGCCAGTGGCTACGAGACTGGATGGAGCCGCCTGGCTTCCCTCAGTCCCCTCAGGAGCCGGGGGGCAGCACGGATTCGCACACAAGCCGCCTGCCTGACAGACCGGACGCCGGCGTCACTGTGGATAAGACGCCTTTCTCTGCCTTGCAGAAGCTGTGACACGGAGTCCCAGGTCACCCTCGCGATGACCCACCAGCCCTTCCATACGAAACGCGGGGAGGGCACGCGATTGCTGGCTTGGGGGCCAGGGAAGTAAGACGTCCGTAGAACACAGGCTTGCGCCCGCACTCACCTGTCCCCCGGGAGTGGCTGAAGTCGCCCTTGACCACGCGGCAGGTCTTGCCGTCCCCGCTGCACACCCCGCACCGGTCCTCTTTGGCCGCCGACCCGATGATGCCGTCGCAGCCGATTTTCTAGGGGACCAGAGAGCTGGGTTAGCCTGGGTTCCCGTCTCACAAAGGTCTGTCACGTGATGCTGGAGGCCCCTATACTTTCAGAGGCCCGAGCAAATAGGCTAATTTATTTTAAGACCAGAAGATCAAAGAATGAATGGGATCCAGCCTGCGTTATGTTCGGCAGGACACCCACCTCACGGCCGAATATAATCTTGCGGGTTTGACAGAGAAGGGGGCCCAGGAAGACAGCCGTGCTCCCAGCCCAGCCGGCGGGGCTCAGTGGGTTTTATTTTTCCGGCTGGAGGGAGAGCACGTGCTTTCTGTAACGTAACAGCCATCGTGCAATGACAGCCGCGTTCTCTCTTCCATCAGAGGGACGCCACCGACTCCTTATTTTCATTTGGACTGAAGACTTTCAGGCCGGTGGTACCAGGCCTCGACCGGCAATTCCTGGGCTCCCAGTTAGTTCTAACAATTCACAGCCCTCGCCTATTTTTTTTTAATGTATATTTTTATTGATTTCAGATAGGAAGAGAGAGGGAGAGAGAGAGAGAGAGAAACATCAATGATGAGAGAGAATATGGATAGGCTGCCTCCTGCACGCCTCCTACAAGGGATCGAGCCTGCAACCTGGGAATGTGCCCTGACCGGGAATTGAACCGTGACCTCCTGGTTCCTAGGTCGAAGCTCAACCACTGAGCCCGGCCAGCTGGGCTCGCCTTCCCCTTCTCGACTTTCCCCTTGTTTGGTTAAAGGCCACGCCATCTCTCCGAGAACGGGCGCCTGGAAAAGAACATTTCTGAGTTCTCCCGTATCTCAACGTTCCTTTATTTTGCTCCCATGCTTGGTTGCTGACTTGGCAGCAGAATTCTAGAATCCTGCAGGAGTCTATAATTATCTCCGTTTCTTCTGCCAGGGTGCGTTTTCCTGTGTGTTTTTCTTGGTCTTTCTCGGGCCGGCTGCTGCTTTTCTTCAAACAGCAGGTCATCTCTGGTTGACCGCTCGCATTTGAGAAGGAGGCACGCAGGAAGACCCACCCGGGGAGCTAGACTTGAGGGCGGGGGTGTCGCGTGGGGGGCTTCCACTCCGGTGAGTGCCGTGCTCAAGCGCTGAGCCCCGCGGGCCGGGCCCTCCCTCCTTTCTCTTTCTCTGTCTCCTTCCGTGGCATTTATCACTGTTCCAACGAGTCACAGACATGCACCATCAGGATGGGTTTGGGGACTATATCCCAGTGGGTGGGGCAAGTCCCCAAAAGCCAGGCATCGGTATCCCTGGGGTACCATTTGCAAAGGCACCTGCTTCGTTCTGTATCTTTTGTCTCGAACCAGAGCAGAGCTTGTCCAAAAACATACGCTCACCTACACCTCCCACCCTCACCTCGGCATGGCTCTTCCCTTTGTCATCACGTCTCAGGTTATTCAAACATTTTTTAACATTTAAACACTACGAGACCTCTATCCTTTCAGCCACCTCGACTCCGAGGTGGTAGCCAGGGGAGCCTGCAGGAGGGGGTACCAGCCTGCAGGTGGGAGGCAGCACCCTGGCACCTTCTTAAGAAAACCCATTCCTCGGCCCGGCCAGCGTGGCTCGGTGGTTGAGCAGAGCGGTCGACCCATGAACCAGGAGGTCACGGTTCGATTCCTGGTCAGGGCACACACCCGGGTGGCGGGCTCCATCGCCCGTGTGGGGCATGCAGGAGGCAGCCGATCCATCAATCGATGTTTCTCTCTCACTGATGTTTCTATCTCTCTCCCTCTCTCTTCCACTCTCTCTAAAATCAATAAAATATATATTTTTAATCCTCACCAGAGGATATTTTCCCAGTGATTTTAGAGAGAGTGGAAGAGCGAGTAAGACAGAGAAATATTGGTGTGAGAGGGACACATTGATTGGTTGCCTGATGCTCACTCCTTGACCAGGGCTGGGGAGGAACCTGCAACCGAGGTATGTGACCTTGACCGGAATCGAACCCGGGACCCTTCGGTCTGCAGGCCGACATTCTATCCACTGAGCCACACCAGTCAGGGCAATAAAAATATATTAAAAAAAAAAGAAAACCCACTCCCCCAGGTCTCCCTAGGCCCCGCCCACGCCGAGCCCCTCTGAGGAGGGCGAGCCGCCCGCCGAGGACACACAGAGCACACGTCACCTGGCACCTGCCGTGCACGCAGAGGTCGGTCTCGTAGGGCCCGCAGGGCGTGCCGTCCAGGACCCTGTCGGCCACCAGCAGCGGGGACTCCTTCCCCAAGGGCGAGCAGTACAGCTCACACGGCTTATCTGGGGAGGGAAGGGGGTGAGCGTCGGCATGAGGAGGGCCATGCGGGGCGCGGGGGATTGCTTTGCAAAGGGACCGCGAGAGGAACATGGACGCCTGCGTGCTCTCTCCACCGGAGTCTCCCTAGGGGGCCTCCCGGGGGCCTGGGAGCGAGGGTGGGGCTGACAGGGCCGCAGAGGACTGGACACTGAGCCGGAGGGTTCCTGCTACAGCAGATACGCTCGCACCCAGCGCCCGGGCTTTCGTGAACGAGTGACGGTCACTGAACGGCCACTGTGCTCAGCTGCTTTCCGTGGCTGGTGTCCCGTGGCACCCTGATCCACGCCCTCGGTGGAAGGCTTGTCTTAGGAGGCTAGAGGGGAGTGTCCTAAGGTTATAAGGAAGAGTCCTTTGGCTAAAGCAGTTTGAAAACAGTGAATTTTTTAAAAAAAAATTTTTTTTTAAATTTTTATTAATTCCAGAGATAGGAAGGGAGAGGGAGAGAGAGAAACATCAATGATGAGAGAGAATCATGGACCGGCTGCCTCCTGCACGCCCCCTACTGGGGATCGAGCCCGAAACTCGGGCAGATGCCCTGACTGGGAATCAAACCGTGACCTCCTGGTTGATAGGTCGCCGCTCAACCACTGAGCCACACGGGCCGGGCGGGCAACTTCCCTCTGTTTTGTTAAGCAGCTCCAGCTGGCTTCACGGAGCTGGAGTGACAGAGCCCTCACCGTCACACCCGCCTGGTCCCCTGGGGGGGCTCTGACCCGGAGGGGTTCAGCCGTGCCGGGGAGACGGAGCTGGAATGTGCCTCTCGGCCTTTGCCAGGCCCTCCGACGCCCCAGCGGGCGCGTGGCTTGCTGGCCCGGCCGGGGAGGCCTGAACTCGGCAAGGTCTGCGCTGCGATGAGATTCCGAGGGGAAGGCAGAGACGGGGTGGGCTGGGCCCTGGGCCACGTCCACGGGTTCTGTCTGAAGGCTTTTCCACGGAGAAGCCCTTTCTAAGGAGCGTCTTTGTCTCCTGCGGGAGGCGGGAAGGGCTTGTGGTCCCGAGTCCTCCCTTGGAAAATCTACCTCTGCAAGAATTTCCTTGTTTTCCTTTTTCTTTTTCCTCCGTTCAAGAAGAGAAAACAGAAAAAAAATATCACTTCTCCCTCCCTGAACTGTGCGTCACCGGCCAAAGAATTCCGCCGCGATAGCAGAGCTATGAATAGGGCGGTCAGGACGGGCTCCGAGGAGCCGAGCCGGCCGGGCCCTGTGGAAAGCGGCTTTGGAGAGGGACGCTGACACGCTGCCCTCCCTCCCTGCTCAGGTCGGCCATTTAGGAGCTGGTCTTTCTCCTCTGAAACGCTCATCGAGGAGGGCTGGCTCCTGCTTCCGTCTGAGAAGGAAATGAAACCGCATCTGCGGGAAGGCCTGAGAGTCGCCCCCAGCGGGGAGGTGGTCCCTGCAAAGCCCTGAGCTCCAGGTCTCTCCGTCCAAGGCGAAATGCTGACTGTACCCCGGCTTCCTTATCCAAGACGGTGGCCTTATTAGCGTCCGGCCAGCGTGGCTCAGTGGTTGAGTGTTGACCTAGGAACCAGGAGGTCACGGTTCGAATCCCCGTCAGGGCACATGCCCGCGATGCAAGCTCCATCCCCAGCAGGGGGCAGGAGGCAGCCGATTCATGATCCTCTCTCATCATTGATGTTTCTCTCTCTCTCTCTCTCTCCCTTCCTCTCTGAAATCAATACAAATATATTAAAATAAATAAATACGATGGCCCCTTTCAGGTCAAAGGCGGAGGCGCTCATCATTTCTTGCTTTGGGAGAAAAAACACGCCAAAAAGCGAGTGGGTGGAACCATCCGAAGGCAATGAATGAGCTTCCCCGAGGAGCCCCCTGCAAGGCCCCCGGAGGGGGGTCTGGGCAGAGGTGGCTCCCAGCTCCTGCGACGTGAAGGCAGCCGAGGAGGTCAGCCCTCCAGCAGCGGTTAGAAGTGAAGCGGGAGTGTGATCGGGACTTGGAGAAATGGGTGGAAAAACAGACATTTCAGTGGGATTTCTGCGTTTGCAGAAACGAGGCCGGAGAACTGCAAACCAAAGCAAGAGGCGAAGGAGAGGAAAACAACCCCGTGCACATAGCGGAGTGGAGCGGAGGGCGGGGCGAGCCCCTTGGACGTGACCTCCTCCTGCTCCCGGGGAGTGGGAGAGGCCCGACCCAGGCCTCGGAGTCCTGGCCGATCTGTGGGCCTGGCTGAAGGTTTGCGAGCCCGGCCTCCCTCCTGACTAGGGATCCAAGTGCACCCGGGGCTGCTGGGAGCCTCCTGCGTTTTCCTGCGTCCCAGGCACGGCCAGGCAGAGGGCAGTGAGAGTCTGTGCGTGCAGCTGCCCACACCTCCCGGGAAGGCGGGCTCCCCTCCCCCTTGCCTGAAGGGGAAGCCGAGGTACAAAGGCTCCACGGGGTTGGCCCTGGCTGGTCTGGCTCAGTGGGTTGAGCGTTGGCCTGCGGACTGAAGGGTCCGGGGTTCGATTCCAGGCCCGGGTTGCAGGCTCAATCCCCAGGAGGGAGTGTGCAGGAGGCAGCCGATCCATGATTCTCTCTCATCATTGATGTTTCTCTCTCTCTCCCTCTCCCTTCCTCTCTGAAATCAATAAAAATAAAAAATTTACAAAAAGACTAAAAACCACCCCAAAATGACCCAGGAAATTGCAAGGGAGCGTCAACACTGGAAAGGGAGGCAGCGGACGCCCACTGTCCCGGCCCCGCACAGCCTCCCTCTCCACACAGTCGGCCCTGGGCCCTGGAAGCAGGCAGCAGGCTGCGGGTACCCCCCCCCCACCTCCCCCCGCTTGCTGCAAATGGGGGTGCGGGAGGCCTCTGGGCTGCTGCCTGCCTCGCAGCTGCTCTCGGGAAGTGGCACAGAGCTATGTCGTCCAAGGCCAACCCCAGGCTCACGCCGTGGGTCCCTCCCAGGCTGACTGGGCAGGAGGACTGGGGCACCCTTCGGGGTGGACTGCGGGTGGGGGCGCCCCCTGGGTTTCCCCGGAGGTGTGAGGTTCCTGGGGAAGGAACGGAGGGAGAGGACACGCCATGTTCCTTACCGTCCACCACCACTGCCGTCAGCAGGCCCTTCTTCTTGCTGCTCAGCCGGTCGTGCGTCTGGCACTGCTGGTCCCGGAAGCTGGGCAGGCCCTTGGGGCAGGGCGGGTTCTCGCAGACCGCGTGCTCCACGCTGGCGCCCAGGCAGTGCGCGCCTCCGGGCCCGGGGCTGGAGGGGAGAGACCGGCCCCCGAGTTAACCAGACCCAGGGGGTGCTCCGTTTTCGCCTCTTTCCCAGGAGTGGGAGGGGCCGGGCGAGGCCTCCCAGCACCCCCTCTGCTCACACACCTCCCATCTCGGCAGCCCCAGCCCCACATGGACGGCGTGTGAGTGAGCCCTCAGGGAAACGCATCCGGAGGCTGCAACGTCATCTGGACACGCAATGTGGTGAGTACCGGTTAGCAAGATCCACCCACTGTGCCTTTCATCTGCACTTAAAACTTAGCCATCAGGCCCGGCCGGCGTGGCTCAGTGGTTGAGCATCGACCTGAGAACCAGGAGGTCACGGTTCCATTCCCAGTCAGGGCACATGCCCGGGTTGCGGGCTCCATCCCCAGTAGGGGGCGTGCAGGAGGCAGCCGATCCATGAGTCTCTCTCATCATGGATGTTTCTCTCTCTCTCTCTCTCCCTTCCTCTCT